GTACCATTGCTTCTGCTCTAATAGGAGTGAGCTAGAAGGGTCCAAGGTAAATCCAGGGGCCCTCACCTGGCCCAGGTGTTCTGCATTCAACTAATTCGAACCAGGTGGGCAACTTTGGGGCCACTTTCATCTTTGACTTTGCCAGCATTGAGTCTGAACTATCACTAAAATCATTTTCATCTGCATGTCTTCTTTCTGGGTCTTTTAAACTCTAGTTTTTCTACTTTTGTTTTAATAGTAATTTGATCTCTCATCTGCTTTCTAAATTTCACGTTTTCTGTAGTTTTTTTTAATGTTCAGAGAGAAGCTGCTTTGTTTGAATCAAGATCCCATTAAAGGCTATGGATTGTATTTGACCGTTTCATCTCTCTGGAATTCGGAATATTCACCTTGTTATTCTTCCCTGATATTTACCTGCTGAAGGTATCATCACATTTTAAAAGTATCTCCTGCAATGGAGTCTGGGGTGAGCAGAGAGGTTTGTGTTCATGTGTACGCTCAGTTCACCATCATGAGCCAATCAGTCTCCCTCACCTGTTCCAACCCACTTTAAACAGGATAAAAATTTAAAGTCCAGGTCTTTCATAACCTGATTCTCAACCTACCTCAACCTTACTTCCTTCTGCTTCCCTCAAATACTCTACATTCTAAGAAGACAGCATTTAACACTTTTGAATGGCCTCTGAAAATTGGAATTTCTACAGCTGACAGTGTTGGGTCCCTGACAGTAAGTTTCCATTCCCTTTTTTTCCTCATTTCCAGTAGCAGTTTAGGAGCCATGTGGGACTTTAAGCCCCTGTGAGGCCCTGAGTGCAGACTTTGCAAATCTCCACTGCAACACATGATTTCTTCAATACTAATATATTCCTTTGTGAGCCCAAAGCCAAGCACTGAAACAAACATTGACAAGTGGACTTAGTAAGAGTTTTCTTTAAAAACCTGATCAATAGGCTCGGCGCCTATAGCTCAGCCGGCTAAGGCGCCAGCCACGTACACCTAAGGTGGCGGGTTCGAATCCCCAGCCCGGACCCGCCAAACAACAATGACGGCTGCAACCAAAAAATAGCCGGGCGTTGTGGCGGGCGCCTGTGGTCCCAGCTACTTGGGAGGCAGAGGCAGGAGACTCGCTTGAGCCCAGGAGTTGGAGGTTGCTGTGAGCTGTAATGCCACGGCACTCTACCCAGGGGGACAGCTTGAGGCTCTGTCTCAAAAAAAAAAAAAAAAAAAACCTGATCAATAAAAGCAACCTCTGAAGGTCTAGAAATTAACCTACCTTGCATAGGCAGGGTGAACACAATTTATCTTCCAAATGGAGACACTTTTTAATAATGAAAGAGGGTGTTACTAATAAGTGCCATAAAATAACACATATAAACCAGGGTGTTCTATATTTGTATATCTATTAGGAAAGTTGATTTTTTTTCTTTTTTTTTTTTTTTACTTTAAAACATCCTTCCACTCAGCTTGGCACCCGTAGCTCAGCAAGTAGGGCACTAGCCACACATACACCAAGGTTGGTGGGTTTGAGCCCAGCCTGGGCCTACTAAACAACAATGACAACTGTGACAAAAAAATAGCCAGGCACTGTGGTGGGTGACTGTAGTCCCAGCTACTTGGGAGGCTCAGGCAAAAGAATCGCTTAGCCCAAGAGTTTGAGGTTGCTGCAAGCTGTGCTGCCACAGCACTGTACTGAGGGCGATGTGGTGAGAGAGTTATGTCTCAGAGAAAAAAAAAATCCTTCTACTTTATGCATCTGCTTAAATGTTTTCTTTATACTCTCCATAGATATTAACTGAAGTCCGGGTGCAGTGGCTCATGCCTCTAATCCCAATGCCCTGGGGAGGCTGAGGCAAGTGGCCTGCTCAGCTGAAGAGTTTGAGACCAGCCTAAGCAAGAGTGAGACTCTGTCTCTAAAAATTGCTGAGTGTTGTGATGGGTGCCTATAGTCCCAGATACTTGAGAGGCTGAGGCAAAAGGATCACTTGAGCCCAAGAGTTTGAAGTTTCTGTGAACCATGATGCCATGGCACTCTACTCAGGCTAACAGAGTAAGACACTGTCTCCAAAAAAAAAAAAAAAAAAGATATAAGGATATTTACTGATCCCCTACTAGAAAGCAGACAGTGCTGGGTACTAGGAATAATACAAGGCGGGTAAACAGACAAGGTCCCAGCTCTCATAGGGCTTACATTCTAATAGCTCTTTTCTCTTTTAAGGAAACATGGCTTTCAATCCTTGGAACACAGGAGGAATAGTGTATGAGCCTCAGTTCTGACAAAGCTGTAAATGATACTTTTTCAGCAGCTTCCTGCAATGGGAAGGCTTTTGAAGCAGAGAGACCAAGGTCTGTCACTGAGCAAAGGCTTCTGAAGCAGAAAGACCAAGGTCTGTCACTGAGCAAAGGCTTTTGAAGCAGAAAGACCAAGGTCTGTCACTAAGTTCAGCCGCTTACTAATGGCTTTGAATAAGAAACGTAGGTGATCCTGATCTGGAGGATAACAAGATTGTTTAGAAATGTTTAGACTAAACATTTAGAAATGTTTTAACTACCACCTTGTAGGTGGTAGTTATTCCATGTTTTATTGAGAAATACTACACATTTGAGAACACACACACACAAAAACCCCAGAAAACGTCAAATCAACCTGACAGGGGAGAGGGCTGGGAAGAGGTAGAAGTAGAGGGGAGAATGTACGTGAGGAGCAGTACAAAGCACTCTGAATCAAATCTATCTTTGCATTGCGTGAGTTCCAGACCTCAGGGTACAAAGCCTACTCTGCAGAACAAAAGACGAATTTTTAGAAGAACAGATATCAGCTGCCTAACTTGAACCTTTTCTTGGCTGGCTCTGGGTATTCTGACTATAGTGTTCCTCTCAGAGGCTCAGCTCCCAGTGTCCCAAGAATCTCTCAGCCTTGTGAAGAAAAGTCAAGAAAGCAATGAAGGGCAGAACATGAGTACTGGGCAGTGAGGAGAAACCTGAGAGGATATAGGAAGGGGATCTGGATAAAGGAGGAGAGAAAAACAAGCATCACTAGCCCACCGTTCTGTACAGGAGTCTGAAATTTTTGCACCTTAGCACAGAAAGGGCATGACATGGAACTCTGGAAGGAACTAGTTTGCCAAAGGCTTCTTTCCCTACCTTACAAAATTGCTGCCACGTTACATTTTGAATGTTAATAATCAGACAAGTTAGAACACTGCTGTAGTCCAATATCCCAGGGTACCTCAAATTAGCTGAATGACTTATAAACAACATAAATCTGAATATTCAGTTAAAAACTGATTTGTTGACAAAAGTAATATGAACACAGGCCATGAGAAGGATCTACTGATAAGAATTTTTAAGAAGGAATAAAACTTTCCAGTATATTCTGCTTGGAAAACTGCCTTTTAATACAGCTACAATTTTTACCCGCGAGCCAAAATTTAGAGCAACATTAGACTTCATTTGATGGAAAATCTCTTTTCTGTCTGAATTACTTATGCACCTTTTTAAACAAAAGCAACATGTAATCATTGGGAAATATTGGGAAAACTAAAAAAAAGCCTAAGAAGAAAATAAAAAGCATCTATAAATCCAGCACTCTAAGCTCTATTAACACCTTGGTACATATTGAGTGTGGGCAGTTTTTATAGTGTGACATTGTCTGTCTCCTCCATCTGATTTCTGTGATCACAGTACTATACAGGGCACTCCAGTCTCTACAATTTGAAAAACACTGTATTTCCATTTGCAATCTGTGGAGGGTTAAACCCTTAATTAGTAACAGCAGGTGCTGAAGTGCTTAAAGCAAATCACTCCCCCATTTTAGTGAGTTGTTATTTATGTCATTCTTATCACAGGGAGCAGCTGCAAGAGCTAAGGCTCTCAAAGGGCGTCAGGGTCTTCCAGTTTCCCCAAGGAGTGAAGGGATTTAAACAGCTAGAGCTACAGAACTGAGCAAGCAGCTCTTCTCACAAAGGCACACAAAAGGATCACTTGGGGCTTCACACTCTCTTAAGGGTCAGCAACCATAATTATTTGTGTGTTGCTAGATAATCAGATGTTTTATTTAGAATTCCATTTTGAACAGCTTTGCCTAATCCTGCACCATAAAATACCACTTTTTCTCCTTACAGTTTAAATAGGGTTACTCTAGAAAAAATTAAATTCTGGTAAGAGGGTCCACTTCAAAGGAAAAACTTGCTCTTAAGAGACAGATTAAGAACGCAGTGCATTCTGAGGAGTAACAAAACCACTCAGCATGAAAGGCTGCCCTCCCGTTATTTATTAAGATACAGGAAGTAATAAGGGGAAAGCCAGCACGGCTGGCCTTCGATTTCTGGGGTGCAGAGGTCTCTTTAATGCTTTCTTCCTAGTGGGGTAATCATCACCTTTCATTTTCATCAAAAATAGTCATAAAACTGATTTTGTGCTTCACTAAAAGGATGAAAAATACGGTGCTTTTAAAAGATACAGGCGCCTGTAGTCCCAGCTACTCAGGAGGCTGAGGCAAGCGATTTCTTGAGCCCAAGAGTTTGAGGTTGCTGTGAGCTGTGACGCCATAACACTCTACCGGGGGCGACAGAGTCTTACTCCGTCTCAGAAAAAAAAAAAAAAAAAAAAAAGCCAGTGGGCTTTTTTATTTCCGTGGAGGACATGTAGCTTGCATGGTCCCTCTCCTGACTGTTTGGGCACAAGTTTGAGGACAGTAACTTTGGGACGCCACAAACTGGTAAAGGACACACGGAGTTGTGCAGGGACACTACAGAAAGGCAGTGGGTCTACGCCAACCTACGTGGAAACTACGCACAAAGTTGTTCACACACTGTCCCGCCGCCAGCCCCCAAAGTCTGCTAAATTTCGTTCCTAGGTCCCTCCACGAGTGGCCTTCGGCTTGAAAACGATTTTAAATTTAGCAAGCGTCAGGGCCTAGGAGAGGGCTTTTCTTTACAAAACAGTCCAGTCCCCTTTCTTCCTCGGTCTCCTTTCCAGAACTAAATGTTCGCTGTCCGCACCCCCGAGGCGCTGAGGCCGGGCGGCACCTCGGAAGCCGGGGCCGCGCGCCCCAGCCCTGGGCCCCGGCGAAGGTGGCCTCGCGCCCCAGGCTCGGCCCTCCCCGCCGCTGCCTCGCGGGCCCCGCTGGAGGCTCCCCGGCCGGCTGTGAGGGCCCAGGATCCCCGGGGCCGCCCGTGCGGCCGTAAACGCAGCTGCCTCTCCTTCCTCCTTCGCCTCCGCCCCTTACCTGGCCCGAGGTGCGGCCGAGCTCCTGGCCGGTAATTGAGGCCGCCATGGCCCGCTGCGCACGTGCGGGTCCCGGGGCGGCCTCCCAGCCGGAGGAGGTCGCAGGCGCGGCTTCCAGAGCCCGCTCGCCGCGCTAATGGCTCCAGGCCGCAGCTGGGGCCGCGCACGCCCGGGCCGCCCTTAAAGTGGCCCCGCCGCTGAGGGTCCGCGCGGCCGGGCCGGGGCCCTGGCAAGGGGCCCTGAGGAGACCGTGTCCTGAGCACCCTGCCCACCACGGTTCCCTTCCCGAGGCCGCGCTCACACCAGACCTCGGGAACAGCTGCCACTGGGCGCCGGAGAAGGGCAGCACGAGCCCACCTGGGGCTGCTCGGAGAACCTTCGGAAGTCTTTGCCTGTGGGTAACTCCTTTACGTTCAATCTCATTAGCCCACACTTGGGATTTTTCCCTCTTTCCTAGACAGACATGTGTTGACGATAGGGAAGGTGAAAACCACTGAGAATTTAAAAATTTTAGAAGCGCTTAACTGTGTCCTATGATTTAATAAATATTGTCCCCGTTTTCTCAGCATTGAAAGAGTTCTAGTGACTATGTAAACCTCATTATTCAACCTTCGCTAGACAGTTCATTGAAATCTGTTGAGCATCAGGACCTGAAGAGGATCCTTCTTTCTGTCTTTACTGCTGTAATGACGGTCTTTACTTCCTGTCGTGGACTTTTCCATTACAGGAAGTGTGGCGGTTATTTTGAATTTGTGCAGACACGTGCTCGCACTTGGGCATCTCAAAAGTGCTTCAGGGAACTGTCACTGCAGGTGTCCCTGAGCAGCCTCAGGCTCCTGAGCAGCTGGTGCTGTGTGTTCTGGGTAAGGTCACCAGATTTTAACATTGGTAAAGCGGGACACCATGGGGGGGGGCGGGGCCTGACAACAATGCAAACTTTGATAAGCAGTTCTCAGTAACCAGTTCTCAACAATTATTTGTTATTATTAAAGTTTAACATTATAAAATTAACAAAAATAATGTAAAACGCATATCCTGGCAAAATAGCCCCATGGCAGCTGAAAACTGTCTATTCCCTTCCTGTTCTCTTGTGTTCCCTAGCTTGTAGTGCATTCTTTCCAAAAATTGGGGCTTTTTAAAAACGCTGCAGGACACAGGACAAATTATTAAAAATTGGGACTGTCTCGCCCAAAGCGGGACATCTGGTCACCTTACTCTGGGGGGGAGGGGGGGACTACTTGTTTGTTCCAGACAGTTTGGCTCCTTCTGAGCTAATTGTCCTTGCCTAGAAGCAAGGGAGGGAACCAGTCTCCTTCTGATACCTTGCCCAGGAAGGGAGTAGGGAGTTTACACTAGCCTTTTCATTTCCAAATGAAGTTACTTTAACCTCTTCATTCCCAAATGGAGTTACATTAACCTTTTCAGCAGCCGAAAGTATATTCCCTTCCCATTCTTCGGCTGTTTCCTAGCTTGTCATGCATTCTTTCCAAAAATTGGGACTTTTAAAAAATGCCACAGCATGCAGGACAAATTGTTAAAAATCAGGATGTCTGGTCACCTTATGGTTCGCTACCATTTTGATGGAAAGAAGAGGTGCAGATAAATTTCTGATGGGATTATTCTGTATTACTCTTGGAGGTAAATGTACGCGTTTTAATAGATTTCGTGAGTAGATTTTAATGAATTCCGCCTCTTTCTTGCTCTTCCAATTAAGAACTGAAAGTTTTTTCCAGTGTTTTTCAACCTTTTTTATCTCTCTGCACACTTGAACTTATAGTTAAACTTCTTCATTTAAATTATGTTGATTTAAAAAACTAAAAAAAGAATATACTTAACTGTGCTTTGAACTTCTTTTGAAAGTAATTTAATTAATGATCTTTAAAAATGTTCATGGCACACCTAAGATCCTTGGTGTGCTCCCGCACAGAGTTTGAAAATCACTGGATACAGCGTCTGTAGGTTTGCTTAGCAGTATAGGAAGAAGGTGTACATTGGGATAGGGTGTGAATTGAGGCGGGTTTGAACATTTTCCCCTTGAATGGCAACCAGGTTTCCATTGCTCCAGAAGTCAAGATGAGCAAGTCTGATGCAAATAATGACATTGTTGAAACTGAAACAGTCAGTTGCTTTTGTGTGAAAAATGCCCATGAGATTATGTGAGAGGCAGTCATCGCTTTCCTGTTAAAGAGAAAAAGATAATTTCTCCTGTATCTAGAATGAGTCCAAGCGTCATAAGAATTAACTTACTTTTATTTCCAGTCTCCTTAACAAAAGAAAAAGAAGCTTACATTGTAACGGTACAGACATCTACTATAAAACAAATGGCTCTCTGGGGAGTTTTTGCCCTCCAAGGGACACTTGGCAATGTCTCAAGACATTTTTCATTGACACAACTAGAAGGTATACTGGCTTCTACCAGGTAGAGTTCAGTGTTCCTGCTAAACATCCTGTGATGCCCAGGACAGCCCTTTACAACAGAGAGCTATCTGGCCCCAAATGACATTAGTGCTGAGGTTGAGAAACCCTACTATAAACCCTCCGAATTTTAACATAGAGTATAAACCATTTAGTATCTTTGCCACCTTTCACGTTGTTAAATCTTACATAGTGGAAAGTAAAAGACAAAGTTTGGAGGAAAGGAAAAAAGAATATGGCATACATCAAAATGACAAACTCAGCATATCAAAGCTGGAACTGGTATAAATTATGTTGGTGGTGGCACAAGGGGAAGGAAAGGTCAGTTTTAGTTCTGTTCTTTCCCTACTTAAAACTATACAAGGGCTCCCCTGCTTATTACAGTTAAGTTCCATTCCTCAGAGTGGCATTAGGGCCCAGGTTATCTTGTCCCACTCTTGCTTTTTGGACTTAAATTTTAATCAAGTGACTAGATTGGTTTCTATTCCTTAATAGTGGCCAGAGGGTTCCCCTCCCACCCCCGCCCAACACACACACACAGCCACCTGTGTAAGATTCTCACAGCCAGGTAGAATAACTTCCTTCTGTAAGGCTGTGATGGTGGTGGGATAAATCTTCTGTAACCTAGAGGAGCACTGGGCTGCCCTAAAGGATATTTGCCGTCAAACCTCTGTGAGCACGGTTCATTGATTTGGGAACTGCCCTGGTAATTTCCTTTGAGCCTCCCCAGCTGCTAATTCATTTAACCTGTGGTTCTGACCTCAGCCTGTCCCTGTTTCAAAGAGGCTAGGACCTCTGCTACTGGTGTGGCTCCTTTCTGCCTCTCCCTCAGTCCTCCTAACCTAAAAGGGCCGGGCTGACAGCTATGTTGTCGAAGTCCTGTACACTTACTCCTGAACGTTCTTTTCGGTGCTGGCTTAGGATTCGCCCATGCAACATACTGACTCCTACTTTCCGTTTGTTGTTAATGTGAGAAAACAACAGGAAATTCTTGAAGTATGCCTAATTCTATCTGCAAAAGGTTAAATATTTGTATCCCTTTCAATTCATATATTGAAATCCTAACCCCCAGGGTGATAATAGATGAGATCTAGGATTGTTGGAAGGTAATTAGGTCATGGGAGAAAAACCCTAATAAATGGAATTAGTGCCCATATAAAAGAAGCCCAACAGAGGTCCCTACCCCCTTCTACCATATGAGGACACAGCCATATGATGCTGTCTGTGAACCAGGAAGCTGGCCCTTCCCAGATACTAAATCTTCTGGTGCCTTTACCTTGGACTTTAGCAGCCTCCAAAACTGTGAGATACAAATTTCTGTTGTTTATAAGATATTCAATCTGTATAATTAAATTCCATTTATTTGTCATTGCTGTTGTTGCTATTGCCATGGCAGTCTTCTTCATAAAGTCTTTCCCCAGGCCGATATCTTCCAGTGCTTTTCCTGTTCTTTCTTTAAGGATTTTTATCATTTCATGCCTTAAATTTAAGTCCTTTATCCATCTTGATTCAATTTTTGTGAGTAGTATTTTGTTACAGCATCTTTCCCCCCCTTTTTTAATATTAAATCATAGCTGTGTACATTAATGCAATCATGGGGTACAATGTGCTGGTTTTATATACAATTTGGAATATTTTCATCAAACTGGTTAACATAGCCTTCATGGCATTTTCTTAGTTATTGTGACATTTATATTCTACGCCTAGTGTTACAGCATCTTAGACTAAGATACCATCTTGTACCTCTGCTCAACAATTACAGCTCTATTTTAGCAGCATGGTTAGGCAGAGACTGTTTTTACTAGAATTCATAATCCTAGCATCTAGTGTATAGAGGTAATAATTAACACATGCTTTTCTCAATGAGTTAAAAACCACTGCCCGTAGGCCATGGTGAAAGTCAATAATACCAACTTTTAATGATGCCCTACAACAGACTGCAGTAACACGTGACAGTTCTCTCATCATCTAATATACTACCTCACTTTCAAAAACAAAATTTACTTCTCTAAATCTGTCTCGCTTAACCTTAAGTCTGTGCTAGGAAGTGTGGAGCTAACCCAAAGTGACACTATCTGTGGAGGGGCTGTGTCACATGAAGTCCAGAGCAGGGCCAGACATTGCCACGGAGACTCAGTTTGAGAGCATCCCCCCAGGAGAACCATTAGAAGCAGCTCCCCTGGAGTCACTGTTTAAAGCTCTGCTGCCTGAGGTCACATAGTTATAAAGTAACTCATTTTCTTTTTTTTTTCTTTTTTGAGACAGAGCCTTAAGCTGTTCCCCTGGGTAGAGTGCCATGGCATTACAGCTCACAGCAACCTCCAACTCCTGGGCTCAAACGAGTCTCCTGCCTCAGCCTCCCAAGTGGCTGGGACCACAGGCGCCCGCCACAACACCTGGCTATTTTTTGGTTGCAGCCGTCATTGTTGTTTGGCGGGTCCGGGCTGGATTCAAACCTGCCACCTTAGGTGTATGTGGCTGGCACCTTAGCCACTTGAGCCACAGGTGCCGAGCCGAGTAACTCATTTTCCCTTAGCCACAATTACAGTGGACTTGAAGTCATAATTTCTACAGTGCAAACAAGCCCGACAATCATAAATGGGAGAAGTTTCTATATGGGAAGGTAGAGTAGAAAAAATGTCCTTTACACTTTCCTTGTGAATACTTACATGTATACTAACATAATTCAAAAGTCAGCTGGAGTAATTTTCATTTTTTTATTTTGAAACATTTCATACATTCCCAAGAGTACACTCACACAGATAATATGGATGTATGTGTACTTACCATTCAGCCTAACACACACTACCAATTTTTAAGTACCTTATGTGTCTCTCATTCCCATTTCCCTCCTTTCTCCCCAGAGATATTATTTTCACTTCTTTTCAGTGCTATAACTAGAATGGATTGTGCTATCAGATAGAAGAAAAAAAAAACCCTTTTTGTTAAACCTCTGCGATCTCAAAGGTGTTTCTTATAGTCATAATACAAAACTGATAACTCAAATTTAGGTGCTACCTTAACAAAATACTAAAATTTGTGGCATTAACTTAGCAGGTCTGCAGTGGGAGGGGCAGAAATAGATACGGGAGGTTAGAGGCCTGGAGATCCCTGTTATGCCAAGTGCTTCCTAAGTGCTTACTAAGATGCTGAGAAAAAAAGGACAAAAAAATTCCTTCCAGGAAATGGAATCAGACTCTAATCATGGAACCTACCCCATTCCCTGGGAAGGAGGCTTTCACTATGTCTGTCTGTCCAATGGGATTCTGTAAAGGTTATGGATGGGTAATGCTGTGCACGCTTCTGTTTCTGAGTGAAAGTTACTATTGGTGTCCTTCCCTGCTCACTGATTGCTATATTCCACA